GGGTTTTTTAATCAGTATGCAGAGGATTTCTGCCTGCATAGAATATTCCATTTCCTTCTATTTTGTACTGCGGAAACTGGAGAAGATTCGGGAACCGCAGTGTGTTAAACCCGATCTCTCACACAATTTTGAGCATTTCAAAATCGATGCACTTATAGTGAGCAACTTATGTGACGTCTCGTCATATCTACATGCTGGTTCAGCTTATCACTCACGCTCTCTCACATTCACGTTCGCTTACACAAGAAAAATCTCTAAGCACTTAGCGCTTATGCGCAGAGAGCCTTATTGCGCGGCACACTCATACTAGCGCGACAATCACACTTCTGATCCCACAGCGAAAGTCAGGCGCGTTTATATACATAACGCCTCCTATGTCCTCGCCTGCGATATTTGTCTAGACTAGCACAGAGCATACGTCATCAATTGTGAAAATTACTACGAGGGCACGCGTGATGTCATAACTCTGAAAATTATAAAGGACTCACCTCAGGTTGAGATTTGAAGACGCTCACGATATTAGCTAGAGCTATAAACGTTATGAAGAAACTGATCGCAATGTAGCTGCTGATCGAAGGAAAAGGAGTTCGACTCAATCGCAGAACACTGGAGAAGCCAGTGTGTATGTTACGTCGCGGACGATCCATCGTTTGGGCCTGAAAAAGGAACTTCAAAATATTTTTCAATGCATGATCGTTCCGAAGTTCACCGAAAATGTCTGCTGCATCAAGAAGGCCGCCTCACTACTCGACATGGAAGTGAAATGAGATTCATTCGACGATGAGCTCCGATGCCTAATCGGTAATCCAACAATATCACTCCAGATGGATATATATTAAGCCACACTCCGAATGAAACAATAGACAAACCATAGAACAATTTCTAGTCAATAAATCAGTGCTGCTTCCATGCGAGTTTCGATTCGATATCACTTACCATTATGACGACCTAGTAAGTGTGTGGGATAACCGGATGTATAGTCGTACGTGAAGCGCTAGGATTGGTGGAGGTCCTGCTGCGAAAGGTCAGAGCGCAGAGAAATAGAAAAACTGCGGCTGCCAAAACAAGAGGTACTACCATCTCGCGACAGAGTACATAAATCTTTTTAGAAACAGGGGACACCGCAGTAGATGAGAAGTTGGAATACGAAAGGTCAGTGTGGTCACAGAAAGCCAAGCAGACGTGAGAGCGTCGAGGAAAAAAGAAAGTTGGCGCCGTTGAAGGGATTCAGTTTCATCCATCCGCAGACCCGCGAAAACGCTGCTGCGCTGGTTTTGAGCGTACGGCAGCACTGCGCTTTGAGCGACTAGGGAAGTATATATACGATCTAGCGTTTAAAACTTTTCGAGGGCTGTTCTGAGCTTTCAATGGGCAGTCGCTGGAAACGCACGTGATACGGGCTGTTAAAAAGGCGAATCCGATAAGGTTGTTTATTACCTTCTAGCAAAATAAGAAATCATAGAAAGGCATCAAGGTTTTTTTGCAACATATTCCAGAGACTCGATAAGGAAATCAAACTGGACTCTTTTTATGGATGCTTTAGAGAATTCTTCTATGAAATATTCACATATATCTACAAAAACGACGTTCATCGAAAGCTGCACATGACAATTTAACATTGTATTGGTTCACAATGGGGATTGATCGATCCGCTGTAGCATTAAAAGAGCATGCAATATAAATATATAAATCTGGCCAAAAGCGATAACAATGCCAAATAATGATTGATTAGGGTTTTTTAATCAGTATGCAGAGGATTTCTGCCTGCATAGAATATTCCATTTTCCTTCTATTTTGTACTGCGGGAAAACTTTCAAAAATCTATGCTTCACATTATTCTCGCCACTTGGGGAGTTCAGGTGCCACCACCATTCCGAGATTAAAAAGAACTCAAGCACTTCGTGGGAATAAATTCTGTCCCGGAGAAAGTCAGGCCGCGTTCATACACAGCGCCTCCGTGGCCTCTGCGGAATTTTTAGAATAAGCAAAGCATACGTATCGATTTGAAATTCCGCGGAGGCGCTGAGTATGAACGCGGCCTAAGGGCACTCGTGACAAGATGGAGTGACAGGCATTCCTGGCAGTGCGCCAAACCATTTTGTAAAGACCTGTAAACTTTTGTTAAACGACCATTAGAGCATCGAAAACTTTTAGAATCTCAACTCCGAATGACAAACTATTTACTTCACTGTACGCTCAGGAACAACCTGGAAAAACGCTGAAACAGTTCAGAAATAAAACGCTCACCCAGTTTCGAGTAGGATATTGCTAGACAGAGGAACTGGCTCACCCTCCCATGAGACTCCGTGGGAATTAACATTAAATTACCATATTCAGGCTCACAATCATATCTTCGCGCTTTAGAGCACTGAATGCCGTTCAACATAATAAAAGAACAAAGAGGAAATGGCGGGAAATGCAGCTCGCTCTATTTCATGACTTCACAAGTGTTTACAGGTTTTCACAAGAAGGTCCGGGACGTTTACGGAAATTAGCAAAGTACCCCACTTTTCGTCCTGCGCTAAATCTCATGATAGGTATAGAGTGGGGAGCTAAATCGAATAGGGCATAGGACCATAAGTGAGAGCATATGGGAAAGCTTCAAACCATAGGCTGCTTTGGCAATCTCAGATTTGTTTTATTTTTTATTTTTATTTTATGACTTTATTTTATTTTATTTGTGTTCATATGTGGCATTTCTGCTTCTATGAAGGAAATGCATCACAATAG